CAGTTAATGCTAGTTTTGATTAGCAGAAACTCACCATGTTTGCAATCTTCCAAATTATTTCACTCTGTATGAAGCATTCCCAAACAATCCCAGACATATACGCTCTCATTCATCACTTCTAATGCTTGAGCCAATACAATTGGGTTACTCTCACACAGCTCCGATCTTGCTTCCTGATTACAAGAACAAAAATAAAAAACTACAACAAACCCCCCACAAACCACCCAGTTTGTATGTTTGCAGCTTTCCAGATAAGCAGCAAATGCAGCAGCACGATATACGCCTAACAAGCTGTTTAAATTGAAGTTGAGGACAAAATCTCACCATCCAAATCTCTGTAAGATTCTTTGAAAGCATAACATACATTCTATTGTGTAATTAAAACAAATCTGGCCTATGAGAGTAGCCAGCAGCTGCATTTCTTGGACACATCTTGTGCACAGCTGGAACAATTAATGCTCCACATGAGTAGTCAGCCAGCCAAGCCCTTTGCAATGTTGTTCGTCTTTCTTGGCCCACCCAGTTTTGATATGTTTTGACAGCTTTGTTGCAAGTAAAGGGAATATGATGCAGCTAACCATGTAGCCAGTTTTGAAGTTAGGGAGAAGCAATGGAGCTATCAATTGCTAGAAAGTCATGGGTAAGGTTGGATCATGCCTTGGTGCTGTTACAAACTCCACTTTTGAAATGCTTTTAGTAGTATGGAGAACATTGATTGATCTCATGTACATTAAGGTTAAAGAGTTTGAGAGTGTAAAGATCTGAGTTGGAAAAATCTAGATAAATTTAGATGGCAGTAAAGAGATGTAGGAAAAAAATAACTCTTTTGCAATCCGTTGGTTGTACAAATTTTTGCAGTTCAGATTTGGTAGCCATATTTTGTTAAAGTGACTAAGAATTCTGAGACAGTAAGATAGGGAAGCCAAAACATCAGAATGGCATATGTTAAGTTTACTATTCTTTAATTACTTAATCAACTAAATTCATACAAAGTTTCAATCCAACTGGACTCCAATAGTTAAAAGCTGTGATTTGCAACCTTGGCAACTTGAGATTGTGCGTACTTCAACATGAATAAGTCCAGACAAATTGCTAAACTAGAGAAATACTGGTTTGAAATGTAATGTTCCAAGCTTTCTAAATGCAAGCCATTGGAGGAATTTAATTCCATTCTCCAAAAATGCAACCCTACAGTAGCCTCCAAAATGAGGTTTACCAAATGTACAAACTATTGTACCATACCCTTAATTTTCTTTGCAAAATAATACTTAGGATCATCCATTGCAAATGACAGCTTCACATGATATTATTGCTGGAGAATTGAGAAAGCCAAATAATACAAAATTGAGTTTTGTGTGCTTCATTGATTGCAGAAAGATGTTCTATTGAGTCTATTTTGTCAAACTGTGAAATGCGCTTAGAAAAAAAACGAAATTCCATAACATCTCAAGATGCTCATCTGCAACCTGCCAGGAAGCCAGCACATGGTAAGACAGAATGGCTCCAGGTTGCCAAAAAGTAAAGCAAGTCAATATTCTCTCCCATTATTTGTTCAACCTTATATGCTTAATACTAAAGGAGGATTGATTGGAAGAAGATGAGTGTAATTTTGAAGTTGGAGAAAGAAATATTCATAACTTGCACTATGCTGATGACACTATTCTGATAGTCAAGAATGAAGAAGTTTTAGAATAATAAAAGTCAAGGAGCTCATTGCATTAAAATAGGGCTAAAATTAAATATAAAAAAGATCAAACTAGGGACGACAAGTAGAGCATTCAGCCGTAGAACTAACAATAAAGATATTGAAGTGGTAAATACTCTCTTTTAGATCAACTCTCAATGGTAAAAGGAACAAACAATTAAGGATTATGCCACTGACTAGTTCTTGTTACATTAGCCACAAGGCCTTGGAAATGCCATCATGTGTCTAAGCCTACAACATCAGAATTACGGAAGCCATGATATTCCCTGTGATACTTTACAAAAGAGAAATTCGGACTTTGAAGAGTTGAAAAGTATAAATGCTTCTGAATATTGGTGTTGGATAAGACTCCAGAGAATACCTTAGTGATATCTACAAACAAGGAGTCTTCAAAACTCTGGTCATAAAATTTAAGAGGGACATCATGATGGAACTATCCTGTTTTTATGCTTTTTAAAAATGTAATATACATAAAAATACAAATGGACCTTTGTTCGAGCTAACAACTTGATATTTTTTTATCATAGCCTATAATTACAAAGAAGCACACAGATTTTTCTGTAATAGAAGTGGGCAACCTTTAGATAGCTGTGGGTCACATTTTGTGACTGACTATGAGCTACAATGAAAAAATTAACATTATAGTAATCGGTGAAGTCATGATTTTTTGATTTCTGGGATTTTTAAGGTAGGGATAGTGATTTGGATATTTTTCCACTTTATTTTAAAAATCTTTTAGGATTTATACTTTCCACTCTAGAAATGCAGGAAAAATTGTAGTGCTTGTGGAAAGCAAGGAAGATCTGGAGTTGGCTAATCATGAGAGTCAAAGATTCAAAGTGAAAAATTTGGATTACAGCTTAATATCAGTAGAAAAGATAATGGTAGTTGAAGAGAAGACACAGGTCAGAGTGCAACCTGACAATGAGACCTTCAAAATTCATCTTTCTGGGCTCTAAAGTTAACCAATGTGGTGACTGCAGTCCTATAGCCAGGGCTGTCTTAACATCATTATGGGCCGCAGGCAAAGCAGTGTATACTGGGGCCCCTATGACCAATACTCACAGGAATAAAAATGTAAATGGTGAATAAAATTAAGCATATATTTGCATGTTAGTATTAATAAAAATGCAATAAAATGTAAAAAATATGTTGCTGTATTTATATGATACAAGAGGCATTGAAGGGGCACCTATGCTCGTGAGGCCCACGGGCAATTGCCCGTCAGGTCCATGCATTAAGACAGCCCTACATCTAGTTCTGGGAAGAACTGCAATGTCCAGTATGAATAATATCTGGAAGAGTAAAGCTAGCCTCCCAACCAAATGCAGATTAGTTAAAGCAATAATTTTTCCAATAGCTACTTATGCTTGCAAAACTTGAACTCTGAAAAAGGAAGATAGGAAAAGGGTGGATGCCTACAAATCATGATAGTAGAGATGACTACTACTCATCCCATGGACTGCAAAAATCATAAACAAAAAAGTCTAAGCCTTGCCAAAAATATCACTTAAAGCCAAGATTGCCAAGCAAAGGCTGTTGTATGGAGAATGTGGATCCACAGAACTACCAAGAGTCAGACACAACTGAATGACAATGGATGCAGGAAACTAAATTTTGGCAGCCACAATAATCTTCCTGGTTTTTTTTTTTACATATGTCATGATTAGATGTAAAGCTTTACAGCCCTACTTCTATTTTTCTAAAACTGCTCAGAGATTGCACAAAAGCAGGATCATTTCTAAAGAAATACTAATCTTTCTTTGTCTAAGAAATGTGAATATATTTATATATTCAAATATATTCACATATATTCAAATGAGAAACCAATAAAAATAAGAACTAACAGTAATGCCTTATTATAAGTTTCACTATATAAGCCTTGAAGATGTCCCAAAGGTTCTTTTTCAAAAGGTGACTGGACTTTGTTTTTCTCTGAAGATATTTCGCTTCTCATCCAAGAAACTTCTCAGTACTTCTGAAGAAGTTCTGAAGAATTGAAGATGCTTCTTGGATAAGAAGCAAAACGTCTTCAGAAAAAAACAAAGTCCAGTTGCCTTTTGAAAAAGAACCTTTGGATGACTGAGCATCTCCATACACAAGCCTTCAAGAAACAAAGAAATCAAACAACACTGAAGCTAAGATTATTGTCAAGGAAAAAATAACCCTCAAAGTAATGTTTCAACAAAGTCCCCCCCCCAACACTCTGAAGATAGAAAAAACAGGATGCTGTTCACAATAGTATATGCTGACTGAATAAACTTGGAGGAAGAAAAATTAATTTAAAGCATGGAAAGCATTTTATGACAAGGAAATTCAGAGGTTAAGAGACAAAATCTTGGAATTAATTACTTTACTCTGATTGCTTTTTGTCACACTGTTGTCTTTTATGGAAGCTTTTTCATTATTGATACATTCTTTTTTTCTTTTTTCTTTTTGCTTATAGCAAAGCCTCAGTATGGCAGAAACACATCCAAAGACACATAGCCTGTGAAATTACTTTTGAGGCTGTGCCTGATTGTCATTTAATAAAGGAAATGGGAGTAAGGGGAGGAGTGACCTTTTCCCCTTTTTACAATTATTAACACAAAGCATTTAAAACTGCTGATCAGATTTAGAGAATTTGAGGAGGGGGGGAAATCTTTCTGTCTCTCCCTCTCTTCTCTCTCCATGCAGGATAATAAAATAGCCCAATGAAACTGCAAATTAAGAGCTTTTCCAAGCACTATTAGCTATTGTATTGATTGAGGAGAAAGGACCAGCTGCCAGTAATAACTTTTTTTTGTCTCTGCTCAAGTTTAAGCAATTTGCATAAAATCTTTCAAAGAAGTCTACCTAGGAAAGAATATTGTAAAACTGCCAACTGTATGATTGGAGGAAAAAAAAACCTGGCAAAGTTTTCCCAGAACAGCGGAACATATAAATAGCCTGAACCTTACTCCTGTTCTCGATGGCCTTTCTCCCTTTGGTTTGCAAACACATCATGTATTATAGACAAGATATCATGTTTATCCCAGAAAGTACAGTGTGCAATTCAGCTGCTGAATATTTTCATAGTATTGTCACAACTTGGCATACATCAACACAGATTCTTTATACTGTATACACATTTGGATGAAAGAAGAAAAGTGTTTAGTGAACGGAGCTTAGAATTCAAATGTTCCATTATCCTTCAAATATTTTGAAAGGAAAGCAAGTTGGAAGATCCTGCAATTCATTTAAATTGCTGTTGACATAACACACAATTCAGAAATGTAGTGTATTTTATCCAGAGACTATTATTTTTATAGCCTACCTGGCTGAACTGTAGTATCAGTTGGTACTGGTTTTTCTGTGATCGTAGCTGTGGTACTCCCTGGAAAAAAAAAATTGCACGCACGCACACACACACACACACACACACAAAGTCAAAATCCATTCATTTATCATCTTATTTATAAATGTTCATGCAAATTGAATAATCAATGTTTGTTTATTTATTTTCAAGGACACTTTATTTGAAAAACACGCTATCTTGAATATAACACAACTTCCCCAAATTGAATTTAAAATTGTTAGTTAAATTCTATCATTATTCTTCTACTGCACAATCTGCTAATAATGATCTAAGAGACCTAAGCAAGAAAAATTGGCGCAAGAAAAGTTTAAAAGACTGTGAGTTTGATTTTGATTGACCCTATAAAGAGCTCTCTCTAATGATCCAGGCCTGTCAAACTGGCAAATGGCAGCCAGATACGTCACACCAGGCCACCCTGGCAAAAAATGTCATGATATGTCATGATTTGGCCCATGACACAATCGAGTTTGACACCCGTGTAATATCTAATCCCATTCCTTTGTCTTTGTGCTGAACAGAAAATGTTAAAGTGACAGACACCATTCTTTCATGTAGTATATTCTCAGAGAAAATACCATAATATCCATGTTATGGAACTGAGAATGTTGAGAGCTTGCTTAACTTTGATGACTTTAAAAAACAGAGTTCAAACTACTTAATAAACTTTAATTGTTTCCATAAAATTTTGGGTGGGATGGAGAGGAAAACCAAATATCATCACTATGTGATGCTTAATAAGAATGAATTTTATTTTAGCTATCTATGCCCCCAATGAATCAGACATTACAAGAGAAGATAAAACCTACCCCAAGCATTTAGTGATGTTGGGAGCTGCACTATCATATAAGAAAGAATAAATATTAACCTGTCCAGCTATATATTATTTTATTAATTATAATTGAATAATAACTCATCAGAATGAAAATGAAGTCACTTCATTTATTTGTAAATGAACAAATATTTGTAGGGACATCACTTTGATTAACAAACAAATCCTAACCAGATATAAAGCTCTATGAGATAAGAAAATTCCAAACAGCTTCATCCGCTAACCAAAGTGTAGTTTATATAAGAAACAAACACCATTTTAGCTGTCTGATTTTTGCAGCTTCTTTTAATTTGCTAATACTTAGATGTGCCTTACAGACTTAGGAAGAAGTAGGAAGAACAGACTACCACTGAGTTCCAGTTTAGAATAAATATTAATGAAAAGGAAAAAGTAGGATTCTCCCCCCCCCCTTCTCTGCTCCAATTGTAATGTCTTTGCGAAATGGAATTTGGAAGAAAACTACCCCAGTTATAAATAAACTGGATTTCAGCCAAGATTGCATTAGCCTACTTAACAATCCAGCTAAGACAGTTAAATTACAAGTGATTAGAATACTTCTGTATTGTTTCAGGGGGAGAAAAATGTATCTTTCTCTTTTCTTATTTATACATTGTGTTTTAAACAATAAACCCCAGGATTTTCATTAGAGCTAAAGTTGTACTGCAATAGGTTAACATGTATTTTACAATTTAATACTAATCCATTGTTCTTGTTTTAATCAACTTCAGCAAAATAAAATGGCACAAAATTACCCACATATGCATACATTTTTTTCATGTTTGTCTTTTTATCTTCATTTTCATCTTTACCTGCTAAATAGTAGAATATTTCTGTAGTTTCTTAAGCTATTTATGTAAAACTTGTAATTTTTCACTTGATTTCCCTGTCAAAAACATCAGCCTTGGTCTTTGATACATTAATTTTAAGATAACATATTCCTCACTGCAATATACAATGAAGCTGTACTTTTCATACAGGCATTACATATTAACATTTATTGAGTTACACTATTATCATCTATTCTTTTTATAGAGTCTTCAAAACATCTTTGAGTACAATGGAAGGGTGTAGCCTAAAAAACTCATCCGGCTTTGTCTATGAGTACTTTGTCCTTTTTTTTTTGTTGGACATTAACACTTTATCATTCATTTCATTTCTATTCTTGACAAATTATTATTTCTTATTCCATAATTAATTTTAAATCTAATCTCTCTATTAGGCCTCCTTAGCTCAGCCTCTTCATTTAGTTCAGCATTATTTCCATACCGTAAATTTTCGCCACTTTTTCTCCACATCTTCATATGTCCTTGCTCTTTGTCAACATTTTTGTAAATATCTTTTCTTCTCTACATACTTTGTACAACGTATTTCTCTCATCATTTTTGCAGCAGTTATAAGCATTTCTCTCTTCATCCACAGCCTCTTTTACTACTGTATATTATACCTTCAATGTCTAAATCCATATTTCATCCATTCATTGTTTTTAGATCTATGTTTATTCCATTAATTAATTAATTAATTCGTTCATTCATTCATTAATTCATTCAGTATAGCTGCCCACCTCAACCAAGTGACTCTGGGCAGCTCACAATTCTAAAATTGATTTATAGACTTATGTTTAAATCATGCATTTGAAACAAAGAATTTTTTTCTAAACAGATATTTGTCACATAGTCACCATTTTAATTTATTCTTGGTCTCCAAATAGCCTGATTGTTTATTTTATCTTGTTCTTATTCATCTGTTCAAGTTGTCTAGCAGAATGGTTTTTTTCCCCTCAGAATGTTTCCCCCCACCCCCGCTCTCATTTTTAGATTATTGCATAATTCTCCCCCAAATCTATCATGAGTCTTCCTTTGTCAATATTCATTGGTATTTACCACAACCCAAAATGACACCAGATAATATTTTCTAGCATACATTTTATTCCTTTCATTCATAACTAAACTTATAGCATCACTTTCTTGCACTCTTTATTAACCTTCCCAGTTTCACAGATAGGCCACAAATATTGAAATTAACTATGTATCATGACTTTAGTTATACCTGTTTTATCTCTCTTTTCTGCTAGGTAATACTACTGGTCAGTTTGGGCATATTTGAGACATATCTTTCCTCACACTATTCTAAGAAAGCTCACCAAATATCTCATCTATAGGCTACCTATAGGCAACATATACTTGTCCACATTCCTCAATTAAGAAGTATTTTCAATTTATTAATATACTCAAGTCACATAGCTAATCAAGCAGATTTAAATCAAATCATTAATGAAAGGAATTAAAAGACAGGCATATTAAAGCACACAAATTTACAGATATATCACAGCAAGTATATTTAAGGTATGACTATTAAGCTCAACACCTTGTTGCAGATAATGCATGAATATGTCATAATTTTTCTACTAAGTAATAAACATAAGAATGGCATTGCGAAAATGATTTGAATGAAAACAGAGTTGCAATGAAATGTGGATGGTTTCTGCACCTGTCAAATGGAAGTCATCACCTGTTCCACTGTAGCAGTTTGCTTGGTCGTCATCACACTCATCCACAGGACTGGTATCAGCAGTGGTTGGGACTGAAGTAGTTACTGAAAAAAACGTCCCAGCTTGATTCAGTTAAGATAGATTCAAAGGCAGGGCTTTTTAATGTATTAGAATGCATACTTGTCCACATTCATTACCTGGAAATAGTGAGTACTAGTATTGGTTTGGAAAAGTATTAAAGTGAAAATACTAAGAATTATTTAAAAGAATAATTCTTTTGAATAAATTAAAAATAATAATTTAAAATTATTTAAAATAACTAAAATTATGCTTTTTATTAATATTCTTTTTTTAATCTCCCCAAATTTCAGCTTGGAGAATTCTTACCGTGCTTATAGGAGAGCAAATGATAGGAAATAGGAAGAGGAAGTTGGATAATTTCTTTTGTGAAATTAAATGCTAACAAATAGCAATACCAATAGCATTTAGACTTATATACTGATTCACAGTGCTTTACAGCCCTCTCAAAGTGATTTACAGTGTCAGCATATTGCCCCCAACAATCTGGGTTCTCATTGTTCAAATGCTTTTGTTCCTTATGGTCTCATACAAGGAAGAAAAGATTGTGGTTTATTCTTGCTAATACGACCCACCCTGAAAGTAAGTCCTAGCTTGATTTTTTACATATGCACCCAATATAAGCCCTACCCCCCAAATAAGCCCTTATTAAGATCCCATCCACTCCAGAGTGCATGGCTAAACATTAAACTAGGGTAGGGATGATGGGGTGGAGCTGCCCTACTACTTACCTTAGGACAGTTGTAGCCATGTGTCACACACCCCGACACCTGCCTTGCCAGCCCATTTCTTCTGCAGCCAGCAAGGCTTTCCTAAAGGACTTTATAGCTCGATCTGGAGCTCTGTTAACAGCTGCAGAGGTCTTCAGGAAAGCCTTGCCAGCTACAGAAGAAGTTCCTGAAAGCGAAAAGGAGGCCGGGAGTGATGCACGCAATTTAATTTAATTTAAATATATAGGAAGTTGTAATTAAATGGATCAATCATATTGAAATGACCCCTCATTTATTAGTATTTTCATTTTGAAGAAGGAGGAAAAGGAGGAGGAGGAGAAGGACTTTACATATACTGCCACGTAGTTCATTGAATTCTGCTAGCATCAAACAAAAAGTCTAATATGCTAGTTGAAGATAGAAAAAGAATGATAAAAATCACACTAAATATTAAAAGCTAATGGAGGATCAATAGACCAGTATTATAGGAAAGTAATTAATGAAACCAATTTATCAGGGATTGTGCAATTACCTTCAATTTCACAACCCAGCAGTTCCAATCTTAGTCCCAATCCAGCATGTGTGGCTCTTTCTGGATAAACACGGATGAATCTGGTTGTCAACGGGTCAAAAGTGCGAAGTTCAGGAGTATCATAGTTGGTATTGCCTTCAAAAATCTGTACAGCATACATAAAAAATTGTGCTGCTTAACAATCACAAATAGGTTTATTTTTAGCCAGCTGGCAATTTCCTCCCCTTAACAACTGAATAGTAATCACAGTTCTGATTGTTCAAAGTGGCTCATTTATTTAGAAAATAAAAGAAAGAAAAGATAGTTGAAGACTCTCTAAGAAGTTTCATGTCTTGTTTTCCAGAAATCTATCCATCAGGACTAGTAGGAGAGTCAAATGTTTTAATGGCATGTCTTTTTAATGAAACGTATATTTGGAATTTACATTGATATATTCAAGGAAGGATTTCTTCTCATATCACCATTCATGTAGTTACAAGGGAAAATTTCAAGAGAGAATTTTTATCCTGATGTTTATAGTTATATTGCAAGTATACAAATTAAACTTTAGAAACAATAGCTGCTGTAAGATAACAGATGTCTATAAAACTAAATCTAAGCAAGATAAACTACTTGTAATGTAATACAGATACAGTATTTGTGAGATTGCTTGGAAAACCAGTCAACTATAGAAACATTTGATTTGGACTTCATTAGTTTTCATTGTATTAATAACACAAATCTCAACCAGAACATAATTATTCTGAAGCCCAGACTTTTTAATTTTAGATGTCAACCTGCCCCTGGAAGCATAGCTATTTAAACCCAATCATGTATAGATCCCTAACTTTTCCTACAATAGACGATAACGATATGTAATAAAGAATTTTGAACTAGCATAAAATATATTTTGTTTAAGCTGTCACTGAAAAGATGAGAATAAAACTGCTACATTATTCAAATGATTTTTGTGAAAATGCCATAACATGGAAATCAACCATATTCATCTTGATTCGTACTTCTGACCTCTTACTAGCTTTGTTACAACTCAGGCTTGATTTAGTTTTCATGTTAGCTCTATGGAAACCATTGAGAAATGCTTCCAAAGGAAAGCTGCTTTGTGTCAAGGATATTGGCAGAAACACTTCAGCTAAATGTAGAATGTTTTTAACAGTAGCCAAAGTATAGAGAATCTTCACCCAATATATCTAATTTACATGCTAAATTACACATTTAAGTTATAATTCTGTTCTCTTCCTTAACTAGTTTCTTCACCACAGATAGTCCTCAACTTATTAGCAGACATTTTACGACCACTCAAAGTTATGTCAGCCACAGAATGGGTACTTTACAGCTCATAAAATGCTCCCTTGTTGGCATAAATGGATATGCTGGTCCCTCTATGGTCACATAATTGCATGTTGGGTGGATCAGTTGATCATGGTTTGCAATGAATTTTGCAGGGGCTTTTGCTGCAAAAAACACCCATTCAAATGAATGGCTTCACTTAACAACTGTAGCTCTGGCTTAATATCTGCTGCGTTCACTTAATGACTTCTTGCAAAACAGACCGGGAAGTTACTTCTGGCCACATAAGGGCTTCAACTTATGATTATAAAGACTTCTGATCATTAAGCCAAGAACTTCCCTTAGTGAGTTAGTTAAGCACATGAAGTTTTCTTTGGAGGAAAAAGCCTTCTTGCGAATCAGAATGATGCCTAAATTGAATTGGCCAATTACTTGTGCTTCAAAAGAATGTCTCAGAAGTTGAAAGATTTCTTGCCCTTTTAAAATTTCATTTGCACAAATATTTAGGTCAACCTTATTCATATGTAGCAATGCATTTTGGCTTTTGATTTATAGCCTGGATTTAGATTATTTGTTATCTAGAAATTCCTCAGTATGATTTCGTCATCTGTCTATTCCTTGTCTATTTTCCTTTCTATGAATGTGAGAACACATTCATTAATGATTTTATCCATTCATTAAGCTTCTTTCGAGTTCATGGGTGCCAAAATATGTTTGAATTCATATATCTCTTCAGCATTCTATGCCTGCTGTTTATTTATAGGTAGAAACCCATATACTTTATAACAGCACATGATTAGATGTTCTGTTTATAAACTCTATACATATTTATCCAAAAATAAATGTGCTGAACAGTATGGATCTCCTACTCAAATCTAAAAAAAGAGAAGTGATTGGTATAGTGAGAATATTTGGAAAATACATCTAAAGGAAGAGTTTTCAGAGGGTACAACTATTTATATATAAAAAGTCATCATCATTAACAGTAAAATTCAAATTTCAACTATCATAAAAGTTTCATGAGAAAAGTGTGCTATAGTGATGAAGACTTTGGACAAAGGCTAGCGAGATACAAGTTTACTTCATTCGTAGAAATTTACTGGATGGAGGCCTTCAAAGTAGACCAGACTAGGCAGTCAAAGTCATTCAAGGTAATACTACTTTTACCTAAGATTACAGCAACAGAATCTTGCAACTCTGAATATATTTTCCCACTCCTTTATCTTCATAAGAATTAGGAAGGGTTTTGTCTGAGGTACTTTTTCAGATTACAATTCTGGCCCAGATTCAGATTTCTTTTATTTGGCCATTGTCTTGGTAGTGGCTCTTCTTCTTATTCTTTCTGCCCATTACACTGGATGACTTTGAACCAGTCATCCCAACCTACCCTAAAGTTGATATTGATGAAGAAAAATAATGAGTTCTCTGTATGAGTACCTAACAAAAGTAGTGATATGAATAAACCCCACCCAGTTGATCCTAATTAAATATATTAAGTATCATAGGAACTGTGAAGACTAATCACTATTTTTATTATAGGAGTAAAACAAATCATTGGGTCTCTATTGATGAAATGTTTACTTAGGAATTAAAAAAAACATTTTTTTTTCAATTCAGAGATGTCTTTCATTCACCATTTGGCCATAGACATTAAAATGCAGAAGGATGTCTCCAATGGTAAGAAATATAATTAAGCAGGAGAAAGGACAGAAGCAGAAGATTAGGATTTAGTATTCTTTGAAGCATTTTGGATAAGCCTGTCTCCTTTTGAAATTTAACAGTGTTTGCTATTTGGGTGGTAGAAGCTACTCTAGAGAAAGTAGAGTACATTCTACTCTGGAATGTATCAAAGTCATAATTATACATAAATTATTGCTCTCATTGTGTGCTTCTGTGAAATGATAGAAAGCAACTGTGTGTGCTCTTACTGCTATGTGTCTTTGTACCAGATCAGGGCTAGAAACAAAGAATTCATACTGTTTGACTATCCTTACTTAGATGAGTGTGTCTGATAGTTGGGTTCAAGTGTTCACTATCAGTTTTTCAGGAGACCTTGAGAAACATCTCCAATACAGTCAATACAATCAAATAATAATTTAATAAGGTGGTTACCAACCAATTTAGCTTTTAAATCATATTTATTTCTGCAACATCAAAAAGCTGAGAACAAGGAACAAACATTAACTTAAGAAACAATCTACTTATCAATATCGTAGGAAAGTTTAAAAAAATTAATCACAATGCCAGTTGCATATGTTCCCTCAATCCCACTCCTCAAAAAGGGAAAACTTTGCTAGGGCTTCTGTTATTTTTAAAGGTTCTGTTATATACAGAGTTACTATGAAAATAAGCTTTCTAGATGCAAAGATACCTTTCCCCCTACATTTAAAAATTCCTGCAAGATATGATAGTGAAATTATATCATGTTGATTATTTTTTCAGTTACTGTAGACACTTCCCCAAAATCTGTAGTCATGTTGTCATAACTGAAATGGATGAGGTACCACAGTATGGCTTCATCCTTCCAGATGGCAATTAAAATCCACCCCAATTCTCAGAATAGTGTTCTAGCTCAGATTTCTTTTATTTGGCTTTTGCCTTGGTAGTAGGTTTCTCCTTTGTCTTCAAGATTATTCCCTCTGGAAGGATGACTTTGGACCAGTCAGCCTAACCTAACCTACAGGTGGACAGTTGTGAAGAAAAATAAGAGGAAGGAGTATGTATGTTACCTTGACTTCCTAACAAAAGGAGTGATATGAATAAAAACAAATACATAAATTCTATAAAAGAAAAGGCTATTTATAATATAGGGACCCATTCTTGTTACTATGGAATCCATCTTTAATGATTGTTTAGGTAATAAAATATAATAATGAATACTGTTTGGTGTGTCTGACAATGGTTTTGAATATGTTGTATCAAAAAAGGAGCAAAATAATTCAATCAATATAGCGGTTCAACTGCTTACTGCAGCAATATGAATAGGTACAAATCTATCATATGGTGCTTTCCATCTAAGAATGTATTCAGTAAATTCTGTTTCAAGAAAGATATTTGTTTTTAATTTATTCTTTTAATCAGTGTAGTCAGCATTACATATAGCTAAGCTTAATTAATATTTTAAAAAAGCCTGAATCCTATTTTAAATTCTCCTAGCTTTCTAATATCTCAGGATTTCATCCAATTTCCCCACAGACAGAACAATTTTAAATATTCAGAATATTTGCTAGGATTATGCATGTTATAAAACTTTTTTAAAAGTAGATTTTAAGACGCTCAATGGACATAATATGTCTGCCAGCATTCATTTTGACAGGATTGCTAGTTCTGACAGTAAGAACAAATGCTCTGAATTTAATACCAGAAGACTAAGTAGCCCAAGGTATGTCACAGCAAAAACATGTAATGCTACCAGTATTTATTTTCTGCTTCATTTACAAGGCTATATCAGGACAATATGCATTTCTAATAAAAAACAAAGTTAGATCCCATTAATGGAATTACTTATTTTTTTACATTTTATCATGAGCCCTTTATTTTCAGATTCAAGGCCATTTGAAAATAGATTCATGGTTGCCCTTCTTCTATAGAAGTTAAGAAGTGGATACAATTTCTGGACAGGCTGAAGTTCTAGCACACTGCTTTATATTGTGCCTAATACAAGTGATATGGCCAAGCAATAGTTCATCGTGGGTTTTTTTAAAAGCTCCAAATGAGAACAAAGAGATGAAACATGAGATATTTTGCATGTACAGATAGAACAGATAATCCTGAATTTACAACAACAATTGGGAGCAGAATTTCAATTGCTATGCAATGTGGCCATTGAGTTATCAATGATCAATTTTACAAACATTTTTACCATAGTTAAGTGAATTACACAGGCATTAAATGAATCTGGCTTGCTTATCAGAAGTCAACAAGGAAGGTAGCAAATTGCAATCATGTAACCCCAAAATGCTACAACCATTGTAAATTAGAGCTGGTTGCCAGTACTAAATACTACCTATAGCCTACCACTGAGCTATACATTTCACATTTACAAAGAACATGATAGTTAACCAGTATGAGAGAGGATTAATACTTAGAAGGGAGACCATCAAATGGTCTTAGTCAGCAGTGGGATCCTACCTGTTCCACTACCAGTTTGGTGATTGCACATGTGTGCTTGAGCATCTAACGCATGCACACCTAATGTACAGACTGCGGCTTTCCCCACACCAGCTGAGGCCTAAATCAGCTGAGAGGATAAAGAAGAGAAAAGTGCAGGGGTGGGACGGAGGGCCGATCCTATGCTTTTCTCTTCTTTCTCCTCTCAGCTGAGGTCGGAGGCTTTTTTTTACTACCAGTTCATCTGAACCGGTCTGAACTGGTAACATACCATGACTGGTCTTAATGCTATAGACCAGTGGTCCCCAACCTTTTTTGTACCAGGGACCAGTTTCACGCAGAAACACTTTTTCAAGGACCAGGGGGGGGGGGGG